TGATAATCTTCACCTTTTGATTTCCTCTCACAAAGGTCGAAGAACACAACCAAAGTACTCCAAACTGCCATGTGAAGTTATCAAAACTGTGGGAAAGGATCAACTAAATGCACTGCAGTAATGGTAAATTAGATGCATTTTATTACTGTCTTTTGAACATCTTTACTGAGTTGTTACAGCCCAATACAGAGGAAGAAAGAGTTCAGAGGAAATACAACAGCTACAGCAGTTGTCATGTTGGTGTAGCTCCACCACAGACAGAGCACTGGCTCATCATTAACGGCATCTCAGATTTTCTGTCTTTTTTATATCCCCATCAAACCACTCACTTCTTCAGAAAAGGGCTGTGTACCTTCCTTTTGCAAAACTGCTCTGATAGCAATTAAATAGTTCTAGTAGCAATAAACCAAACAGCAATGAGAACTCTTGACTGCTGATGGGGAAGGTGATAGAAGGAAAAAATAGCATCCCTGAAGTATTGCTTGAGATTTAAAATATTATTAAGCGAGCTAGAACCGTGGAGTTTTTGCCTGAAATTTGAATCTGGGGAAGTTTTATCCTTTACTGAGGACACAGCAAAAATGCATATTTCATCCCTTCCCCTAGAGAAGAGATTACTGTCAGGATAGAGCAAAAATGAGGGTATGCCAAGGACAAGATTGTGGTTCTATTATCCTTGGAGCGGGTCTGCACCAGCTTGAGCCACAGCGCTATTTAAAACTGAACTGTATTTTCTCCTGCTGACTGCACTCCCTAAGGGAACATCCATCAGCCAAGCAGAAGTGACTCATGCAACGCCCCAGCCTCACACTTGAGACAGTCAACCTCAGGGGTGACTGGTGAAAGAACTGTCACAGCCGTCCTGAAACTGAGCAAATGCTGCCTCGCTGGAGTTTTCCCACTGTGCAGCCCGCCTGGTTTTAGCTTTTGTCGTGCAGCTAATGTGAAAAAAACTCTCCAAGTCTTTGGCTCTGTGAGTTTGTAAACTGTATCATTTAAAATAAAGTTAATGGAATTAGCTAAATCCCATCTTGGTTTAAAAACATCTTGGAAATAAAATCTGGACGAGCGCACCGGGTTAGAGGTGCTCAAGGCAAGTGATTTGTCAGGAGCAGCTGAACTCCTACGTTATGTGTCTCGCAAGTAACTACAAATTAATATATCTTTATGGAAGCAGTTCAATTAAGGTTTTAGTTGCTGAAGAAGTGTTTTCAATACTCTTGCACAAGCCAACCATTCAAAGTGCTACTATTTGAATTGAACTCATCAGCTCAGCTGGAAAACATAGCGACTTGGAAAGGCAGTTGAAGTGTGTATTGCATTAACACGCAAATTTAATTTAAAGGAAGAAGCTCTTTATGGACTTTTAAACTAGTACTTAAACTCTGCAAATTGCTCCGTTTAAACTGCTGTGGTAAAAACGGCAAAAAGAAATATTCCAGGAATGGTAACCATTGGTTTGTATTTTAGGCTAAATTTTAGTCTACATGGCTCATGAATGATCAAGTGTTATAGGAACTGACAAAGTACACGATTTTGTGAAGAAAAACATTTAAAAGGATTGAAAAATTTAATTTCGATATTTGTCTTTGGTTTATCACAGTTAATTAAGTAGAGCCTGGTTTTATTTGAGCCTTGATGAGGTGCTTTTAGTGGAGGAGGAGAAGTGAAATCAGGAATGTATTCAGGGGCACACCTGGGGCTGAGGGGGAGATTGATCCAGAACCCAGCCACACACAACAGCACGGCCGTGCTGGAAGTGCCGTGTTTTGGTTTATTTAAATTCGCATCTAGTCATTTGGGAAACGGGCCGGGCCGGGCCGGGCCGGGCCGCCCTGCCCTCCTGTGCCCCGGGAAAGGCGCGTAGGGACGGCGTGGCTGAGACGAGCTGGGAAGCCGCGCTCTGGCTAAAGGCGCGGTGCCTTCCGTTTAGCTGAGCGCGATGTAGCCATTTCTCTGTGTTTGTTTGTAAGTTATTTGTGAATAACGGCGCCGGCGAACAGCGACGGGCTGTGTCCGTGTGTCGGGGTTGTGCG